GGCCAAGTCGGCAAAGAGAATAATCTCCCGGTCCCTCAAACGATGACTCACCCCGGGGCCCAGGACCTTAGGAGGCCTTAGGATTTGAGTACCATTGAGGCTCCCACAATCCCGAAGGACCGGTGCCTTGTCCCAGGCCAAGATTTCAATCACTGCATGTTGTTTGGAGATGGATGAAAAGGGCAGGGACACGGAGCATTCAGGCATTCGGCCTACCACGTTCTTCCCAAGGTATAGTGGGAAATCTAAAATTTAAAGAGGTAGAAACTAACACAACACTGTAAATCAACCATACTTCAATTTAAAAAAAAGAATTAGAGAGGTAGAAAGGTTCTAAGTCCAGAGTCCTGGCCTGCTATTAGGAAAATGTTCCTGTAAAGTACCCCACTACTCACTCAAGGTCCCCACATGCATTAGAAAAATAAAAAGCCCTAGGATATCTAGGTAATAAACAGTACACGTAACGTGTTATTTATAGTCAATCTCCCTTGCCGTCCACACTGGATTATTTTCTATTTTGGTAAAATATACATAAAATTTACCATTTAACCGCTTTTTTTTTTCATTTAACCACTTTTAAGTATTTGGTTCAGTGACATTAAGTACATTCACGTTGTTGTGCAAAACATCGCCACCATCCATTTCCAGACCTCACTGGATTTTTATTTGAATCCCTTCACCCTCTCCCACCAAAGTAAAATCACCCTCATTGAGTCCAGGGCCTGGAGCAATCAACTCAGTCAGCCCTCTCTTTTCCATTCCCAAGAAAACATTTTTTCAGATCTCCTTGAGCCATATGTAAGCTTGCAACCCTCCAATTACTTCCCCATAGAAATAAGAGGCCTATACCAGTATTTCAGCACCCAATGCCCCTGACCTTTTTCTGGTCCATAGGAACTACTGAAGATACGCAGTTGCCCTAGGGGCTCCAAGCTACACCCCAAAGATTCACTGGGTCTCTCTTCGACTTCCTCCTCTTCTTCAACATCCCAGTTAACAACCTGGGTGTCCTCCATGATCTGGGAAGAAAACACATTATTATCCTCTCGGTCAATGGTTCACACACACAGCCTCAGAGAGGAGACTGATGCACAGGATAAACCTGGACAGTTACAGAGGCTGACACTCCTCTTTCTGCCAACCATTCTGTTCTTATCCATCTAAGTATTTAAAAAAATATCTTTGTGCACAGGATAAGAACTATTACAGGGTCCCGAGTACACAAAGATATCCAAAACATGTTTATTTATAGACAAATGTTGTGAGAAACAATGCTTAGCCTTAATATATTTAACACACTGATAGTTCTCATTCTGTTTTTCTATTCTCTATTTTTTAAATGCCAACTTGCAAACCAGTAAATTGACTTCGCTATCCACTATGGGGTTGCAAGCCAATCTGAAAAAACTATTTTAAAGGGAACTAACTTTTGTCAAGTATCAATTATGTATCAGGCATTGAGGCAGGCATTTAGGAAACTAAGACTAAAAATATTAAATCATTTGTCCAGGAGAACATAGCAGCTATGTGAAAAGAGTTGAAATAAATGTGTTCCTGGTTGCAAAGCCCATACTTTTTACACTTTATCAGACCAGCTCAGTGTGATCAGACTAAACTGCAAAGAATCATAACAATGAACAGGTAGAGAGGCTTGCTAGGTGTCAAGCATTGTTCTAACTACTTTATATTGGCTGACTAATTTAATCGTCACAAGAAACCTGTGAAGTATTATTATTTTTTATTTCTTAAATGAAGTCGTAGTATAGATGGATTAAGGTACTTGTTCAAGGTCACCCAGATAATGTCTCTCCTCTGTTTAATATTCTTTGATGGCTCTCCATGCCCAGAAGGATAAAGTAAAACCTAAACTCCTTAACAATATTCTCCACCATCAGAACCTCATGTCCTGAAATGTATGCCCCAGCCCCACCTCACCCAAGCCTATGGTTCAGCCACACGGATCTTCTCCCCAATCTCTGAACACACTGTCCCCATTGTCCCTCACATCTGCGGGCCTTAGCCAGTTCCTTGGCCCTCTGATCCTAGTTTTCTGGTTCACCTCCTACCCACACTTTACTGTCAAATGTCACTTCCTCAGCAAAGCCTTGCCTAGAGTCTTCTATGCTTTCTAGTGTTACTGATGCATCCTAAGTGTTGCACGGTGGTCAATGGACTTGTACTTATCCTAACAGTTTTCACCATAGTGTAGCTATACTTTCCATTTCTGCCTCACGAACCCCCTTGAGAAACGGACCAGCAGAACTGTGTCTTTTTCCCAAGGGTCCATCATATTTATTTAACAGTAGTTACTGCGCACCTGGTACTGTTATAAGTATTCGGTATATATTCATGAACCAACCGTAAAATTAACCTTGCCCCCCTGATGAAAGAACGAATGAGATGAAAACTCAAAACAGTATGGGTGCGAATCACTTAAAAAGATGTTACCCTAAAGGGAAAATGTTGACAGGTACAGAAAGTAGGACGCCTCCATGGAGACAGTATTAACTCCATTCTTATAACTGGCTAACTCAGCTGGCGTCCACGACCCTCGGCTCCAATCCAATGGGCCACCATCTTTGATCTCCATCCCACGGGTTCCCTCCTGGCCCAACGTCTCCCTGTGTCTTCACACCTAAACTCAGGGAGGGGCCTCAAGTAAGGATGAGTATTATAATCCCAGAGGCAAATTTCCAAGTCTCCTCCACCCAGTCGTACCCGAGGCACGCCCCTCCCGCCCTTCGGGAGAACCAAGATGGCACCCGGGGAGCCATGGGCGAGGCCCCCCAGAACTCACCTACTTTCAGTCCCCGCGCGCGCCACCAGTAACGGCCGCGACCGGGGTGGCGCGAGTGCCTGAGCGGGGAGGGGGCCGATTTGCTATTGGCTCCTGCCGCTGTCTTTCACAGCCCGGCTGCACGCCTACAGATCCAGCCGCCAATGCAGAGGCACAGGCAAAGCCCCGCCCCCGCCCTGCCCCCTTACGGCTCAAAGGGCGCTTCTCCCCGGACACTGAGATCGGTTGGGTGAGGCGGTAATCCCAGGCTGCCGAAGGCGCACAGCATAGCGCACCTTGATTGGGCAGCTCCAAAGGACAACCCACCGCCGCTTCCCCACCCACCGCCCACTTCCCGCGCAGATTTCCAAATCGCGACCACAGAGTCGGGCTGCCAGGGGCAGATAGAGGGGCTTAGCCTAGTTGCCGCCCGATCCATCTAGTGCGGCTAGAGCGTCCTTCCTCGGTCCTCCCAGGCATGGTGTCCGCTGACTCACGAGAAATGAAAATGGGTTGCGGGTTGCAGTCGTGGCTGAAGGCTGCAGTTTGGAGATTAGACCGTAGGCGTGGCGCTTGAGTATTCATTGCAATAGAAGTTCATTTCCTTTTGATTTGGCTCGTTTAGAAGTCATGTCATATTCTCCCTGAGACTACAGTCCTGATGGACATCTTGAGGTCATTTTCTTTAAGATCTCTAGGCGAACCGATAGAACTATTTTGCTAACCCATCCTAAATGACCGAGATCTTTGAAAGGTTGAAGGATGATAAAACCATTTATTTCATTAAACTTCATACTAAGACAAGAAGAGAATAGTAACAATTTGACAAAATTTAGGAAGACTTTTTGCTTTTATTATCTCACTTCATTCTGACTAGAACAAGCAAATAGGAATAGGTTTTACAGAAAGAACTGGAGCTCTGCGAAGTTAAATGACTTGCCTAGGTACCTAGAGCTAAGGTAGAGACAAATTGAAACAAGTTCTCTATAAATTCTGAACTCTCTCCACTACCACAAAATATGTAACTTTCATTGTGATCATGCACTAAAACATATTCTATTTCAAGTGAGTAGAGGGGTCTTACACAACTTGATGTTCTTTTATTTAGAAGATGACTGAGAAACGTATGTTGAATTCACTGTGAATTAACAATGATGACCTTGATACCACATGTCCTTTATCATAATGCTTACCACACTCTATTGTTTATACACTTGACACAAAATTGCAAGATCCTGGAGGACAGGAAGCTAATTCTTAATCATTTTTGTATCCCTTGCTCCTGGTTTGGTGGACACTTAGTATCTCAAGTGAATTAATCCTCAAGAAGAAGCATGATGCTAAGATTTGAGCTCATCCAAGTTTCTCCCCTCATGCCCCCATCCCTTTTATTTCAATCCTGAGGATCTTGGACGGTTGCAATGGTCAGCCACCTAGTCAATGAATTCAGTGATTCCATCAAAGTGCCTAGAGACGCAGGCTGGAAGACACTGAAATTCTATCAGGCATCTCACCCTATACTTCTCTGCTTGACAAGAGACAACGTGTTAAACGCTGCTCTAAGGCCCAGATCCCCTACATGGACCGAAACTTCGGGTATATCAGTTTCTCTAAACCATTCAATTTATTCTTTGAACAGATCCTCCGCACAATTACATCTCTGTCCTGAAAAGCCCTTGGCTGCAATTTTGTTTCTTTCTAAACATTATCATTAGGAAACTCCCAAGGAAATGGCAGGAGGGCAGTCCCCTCCTTCCTGCTGAGATATCTGGGGGAGCAGCGGCTTACTGAAGTTCATGTCTTGGGTCACCAAAGGACCAGCTGGTAGCAGAACAGGGTGCCGCATTTCTCCCCAGTTTTCGCTGAGCTAAGCAATTCTGTCTTTCCCCAGAGCTACCGCAGCGGGGAGCTTTCAGGGCGTGCCCCATTCCACCTTCCAAAGCCTGGCACCCCAGGGATCCCAATTCCTGCATCCCGAAAACTATCCTTTTTACACCAAAACACTCAGGCATAGAGGAAAAAACTCTTGCGCAATGTCATTTTTCTTGAAAAGACCCAAATACCTAAAACCCCAAACCCAGTACCCACCCATTCGTCCTTTCATTTTCCAGCGTGGACAACAATAGAGGACTACAACTCCCAGGGAAGACTGCGCTCGTCCACCCCGAGCAGGGACCAATGGACGTCTGATACATGACCGGCAAGGACTAATCAGGACCAGCCTCGGTGAGGCTTTGTCTCCCCACAGCGGCGCGGGGCGCGTTCTCCCGCCTCCTGGCCCCGGCGCACGCGCGCCCCGCCCTGCCCGCCTTTCCTCCGCGCCCTCCCCTCTCCTTTCTCCCTCTCAGAACCTTCCTGCCGCCGTGTTCGGACCTCGCTGCTGCAGCCTCCGGGGCCGTCCCATCCTTCCAGCCTGCGACCAGCAGCAGAGAAAAACAAATTACATATCATTTTCTTGCCCCGTACACACCTTGAGGCGAGCAAAAAGATTAGAATAAATTTTAACCATGAGGGAAATCGTGCACATCCAGGCCGGTCAGTGTGGCAACCAGATCGGTGCCAAGGTAAGGAATTTTAACCTCTTTTAACTATATTTCTTTCTGAGAAGAGAAAAATCCAGTCAAATTGTGAAGAATGGTTATGAAACATTTGCACCCTCTATCTTTGGTCAAGCTTCCCCCCTCCCCAAAAGAAAGTTTTATATGTATACTACATGTTTGTAGCTATGATTTGCTTTTGAAAAATGGGGAATTATTTTTCTCAGCATGCTCCTTTTGGAGAGGCTGTTGAAAGCACCCTTCAGGTTTAGGGGGCCGGAAAACCGAGCTTCTGTAAAATTTCACTTAAAAGGGGTTCTCCTAACGGTCCGAGGAGCGGGGAACGAGGGTGATGCGGAAACGGCCCGAGACAAAGCGAGGCGGGGTTTTTCCCATGTGCATCCCCGTGGCGGGGCTTCGTAGGGCTAAGAGGAAAGGGGTGAGGCTGGTGGGTAGCTGCAGAGAGGTCGGATCCAAAGGTGGGAGACGCGACGCGCCAGGGTGGGCTGCATTACGCGATATCCTTTACAAAAGATCAGGGATACCCGCGCACACGCGATCTCCAAAGAGCGGTCCAGCAGTTTTCCGTGTATGGAAGGCTAGTATGTGCTGGATTAACTACACTCCCTTTCATTTACCCTTACAGAGACCCTTTCAGGGCATGAAGATACGAAGATAGAAGTCGAGGGGAAAGGTGGGGTAGGGGGCTTTCTTTAAGGGGTCCCTCAGGGCTAAAGGGTAGGACAAAGGGGAAAAATCCTCATTTAAAGCAAGGGGGAAAGCTACCAAAGAAAATTCCGGGGCCAAGGG